GCTTCTTCAACTCCAGAATATACCGTCTGTGTCGCATGATGAGGACCGCAGAGTAATCACAGAACTCGAAGCTTGCAGGCAGGTCTCTGATAAACAGAGATGTCGATCGATTAGGTCTCTAGTGCTGCCTGTTGGCCAGTGTGCGACAAAGTGCACACGTTGAAGCATACCAGGATCGAGAGCTCTCAGTGGTAACAGATGAACTGATGTTGTCCGTTTGGATAGTCATGTGGTTGTCCACAGGGCAGGATTGACGCTCCACGTTTGCGTGTGGGTTGAAACTAAGAGACAAACCCTTATCAAAACAAGATGGAGGAAGACCAATAACTGGGGGCTTGCAAACAGGAGGATAAAAGTGAAATTGGAACGGATGAGAAAGCGCAAGAGGGGGAATAAGAAGACGAGAAACCTTGAGCAGTTGCATCCAAACCCCTATTCACCCTGCTCGACGCAGTGGATAGGGTACACTTGACTAGCCACTTCGACGGCCACTGCATCAAGAGATCGTTAGAAGAGAAATTGATTATATTGCTTGAGTCGGACACTGTCAGGTTGCTCAAACCTAGATGGGAGAACGATTATGGTTCTCAACCAAAGCCTTTGGTTCAAAAACTTGACCGTAAGGCAGCGGAGTTTCAGCACTTGACTATAATGAGTCTGTTTCATTTAGTAAGGAGCCATCCTCACTCCAACATCCAGCGTGCAAGGCCAGGATACTGAGTTTGTCTGGCCTCTAACCATTGATTCTGAGGGTGCAAAGGCACCACTCAGCATAGCCCAGTGGATCGCTGAAGCGCGCAGACCATCGCATCATGTTAAGGTCCAGTCTCGTCGCGATGGCAGTCTTCCATAAGTAGAACACTTAGAGCTGAAATCTATCGGTTGATGGTATGTCTAAGGAAAACACAGACGACGTTGGCAGATTTTTTTGCGCCGTATTCCGGATATGTATCCAGTGCTTTTCAACGTCTGGAAGTGGAGTGCTCTTCAGATAAGAAGCTCACGAATTCTGGGAGGCTTCCAGAGTATTTGGGAGCGACAAGATTGGTTGCGTCAAGCCGTTTCCGGGGACGCTGTTTGGGTGCCATCAAGGCACAGGGAAATTTTATCGCATACAAGCGCGTGATCATTGAGATATGCATTTGACTTGATTTGCTGTCCGTTATACAGCCTCGCCAACGGTAACTTATGGCATTGTAGTCGATCTGTGTCCATAGCTGCCCAGGTTAAGTGGGTCATTAGGTGACGCGCTGGCGCCAGGAGCGCCGAAAACTTGTGCTCGAAAGGAGTAGGCCGTGATCATCACCGTAATCCCTCAAGCGGGTACCATGGCAGGGTAGACCAACGGCGTCGTGTTCATCAGCTTCGAGCCTACAAACCTGTGTGTTTAAGTCCCCAGCGCGAACCACGATATTGATGAGTTGACGGTAGAATTCATCTTTAGATGATCCCGGGCTACCGTCAGGACAAAAAAACGGTGCTTGGCAGCATTGCGGCTGAACACTGGTATGCAGATTTATAGCCGAATTGCACAAAGTTGGCTTTTAACCGGAATCCAAAGAAGTACCGCTACTTCCGAGCTCGCACCGAACGTGATCCTTACACTGGGCTGGCCCGTGGCTTCATCACTTACGCCGCAGCTTAGCTCATGTCTGTTGGGAACACCGCGTGAGCAATGAGCGTGTTCGGCGTCGCGTATTTAGTGCAGGAAGATTGAGGGAACCGCTCATCCCCGTTATATCCCGCATGTGGCTGGGCCACGTGTTGCGCATGTCAGCACACCGACTGCCGCATCGTGCATTGTTTGCGCGCCCTAGGTATGGATGGCAGGAGAGGAGGCCAAGCGATAACTTGGTGAAGAGGAATGAAAACCCTCAATTCGAACTTGGCGTCGGTTGGTCCCTCTTAACTTCCGGGCTGGGGTCCGAAAGACGATGAGCACGTCTGGTTGGATACACTTGTCGCGTTTGTGTTGTCTCTTTAGCCCTCCCCTTTAGCTTCCCCGTCCAACAACGATCTCAAACCCCATGCACAATATGATATTTAGCCCTATATTACCTTTTTAGCTTTTTAGTCTTTAGTGTCCAATGTCTCCTGTTGAGGCACAATAGTTGAGGTTTGTTTCTAACAATCAGCTAACTTGTGTTGACGACGACGTTGTTGTTGATGGTGATAACGACAATGAAGAAGATCGCAGAGCTCTCAACACCGAGCTTATCAGGAAGATCGCGGAGTCTGGTGGAAGCAGCGCGTCATCGAAATGGAAGAAGCTGCTTTCTCAGGGATCTTCCGCAGAATTTTTTCTCTTATCCGGTCCATTAACTGTAAGTGAAGTACCGTGTGAAACCAGCGTTAAGCTAATGCACAATCACAAACGTCGTCTTATATGTTGGACGGAGCACATCGAACAGAAGTTTCACTGGCCACCGGTGCCCTCGAAATTTTATTCATGTATTCACTGTGTCCCATGGTGTGTAAGCATCTCTCCGTCATACGAAGTAGAGGTGTGCTAAAAGTTTCGTCATCTGAAGAGTTACAAATTTCCTGGTCCCGAGAAATCACCTCACACTATTCTCAAAGATGAGGCCAAATTTACCTTTGCCATCTTTCCAGAGATTCGGGCTGCAGAAATCATCCCGTCGAACTGGAGCTCAGCGGACATAATGACCTCCTTCAAGAAATGTGACCGAACGGATTGCATCTACTATCGAGGGATCAGCACCCTATGCATTGCGTCCAAGTGGCTCGATTCCTTGATTTTGCGTACGCACAATGTAGTATGCGAAGAGCAGGCTGAGCTTCACCCAAATCTGGGTTGTATTCGCTACATCTCTACGATTCGCCAGATATGGGAGTGGGTGGCCATCGCGGTTGTTCATCCACCCTCCGTTAGGTACACAATTCCGGTTAAAAAGTGTGTGGTCACTGACCCTACAGTCGGTCACATTGACTTAGCCACAGTGTTGTACGATCTCTTTTGGTATTTAATGGATGACCAATCTCGAACTCCCCACGCTTTGAGACGCTGCGTTGATTGTCCGCGACTGCTTAGTGATCTCATCTGCGAATCAAACTAGACACATTTACACTTGCTTTCACTAGGAGAGAATTACTTGATCCGCAACTTGAGGAAGCGCGCAACAACATACAACGAGCCCTATGTAGACATCCCATTCTGAGCTACGTCTTGCATCGCTACTCCTTCAGCCCTAGTACACCATGGTATCACCGCTGCATTAGTATACGATTACCTGTAGTGTCACTTGTATCCTTGAATGTTGTGGCTCTCACCCTGCCAGTTCACGGCGCTTCTCAAGCATTCACTTCATTGCTCCTTACTAGAGCGTTATTCAGTGTACCTGTCGCCCACTGCTTTAAAACACATTGCGTGCTAGCCGTGGAACAAGCACTAAGACCAGCCAGACTAGTAGCTACGTAACAACCTTAGTGCAATCGCGTGGAGCCAAAAAGTTTCATGCGCTGCGGTTAGGGCACCAGTGAAGGTGTCTATGCCCACCGGTGCACATGCGATGTAACGATGTGGCCAGAGTAAACCGTGAAGCCCCCCCCCGCGCTTCAATGCGTCACTCGTATTGTGCCTGTTGCCCCACGCACGCCATATGTCCACAGCACGCAATAGCTCGTACAGACAAGCACCTGAGAGGTTAGCGTAAGAACATCGACAGTCAGCCGTGTCAAAGTACAAGTAGCCAGTAACCGTTTTCGATAACAGGCTCTGTTATATCGGCGTTGTAGATCACGCCAAAATTCTTTGTCATATTTTGACCTAGTTTCATCTTAATCGGCCGTGGTGACCTCAGACATCTTATTATATCCATCCCCTATTTCAGCACCCATGTGACAAGTTGCACACGAGGTTGAAGTGAATCAGTACACCCCTGTGCTCCTCCATACATGCGTCCACGTTGCTATGTGTGGCGTCGCTTGGCCAACGAAACAGCCGCACACCGGTGAGTGCATGCTACCCTCGGGAGAGTCAATGTGTTACTTGTGTGTAGTGGGGATTGTTTATGATTGGAGATAGTTCCTCAAAGTCTACTCTCCGTCTGCGCTTTTTGGCTTGTCTGGGAAATCCCGCGACAACTGTGTTTGGATCTTTTAGCTCTCGTTAGTGGTGCCACTTTCAACGTACCTTCCCTGGGTTCTGCCCCTAAGACTTGTCGATGCCTTCAGCTAGTGCTGCTTCGTCCTGGGTGCCGTGCGCGCATCTGCGTGATTGACAGTTGACTATAATATTGCCCGGCTCATCTTCCACTGCCTTGTCATTTACCAACTGTGCAGCTGTGCTGCTGTCATCCCGAAGTCATGTATGCGGAACCCGGCAGGGGTCCGCTGACAGACACAACAGTGACGGGACTCAGAAATTCGAAGCACCGGTGTCTGATGCTTTTCCAGACTAGCCAATTCCTACTAACTGAGAGTCGACCGTGAGGAACTATCTCGAATCCGTTTGCTCCATGGACGGACCAAAGTGTTAGATACCAGTGTAATTCTATGCTGGAAGATTTCTACTCAATCTGCACGGACTGGCTTGACTCGGTAATGGTGTGGACCACTGCGTATCGATTCCTTGGGATAGATAGCATTGAACTCACTGTAACGTGGTCAAGTTGCAACCCATGGAAGTAGCCGCGCATGTCATCCGATTTGGAGGGGTGTGTTGGACAATCGGGTCTGTTAGGTTCGTGCCCGATAGGCTATGGAGTTCATTCCTTCCCTCCATCTGTTCACACTGATCTGATATTTCAATCAAAATCATGAATTACTTCTACTCATTATCCGGCCTTGGCACTGGCTGTCGGTGTGTAATCATTTGATCTTTTCTTTCTCCGTTTTGAAGCGCCACACCTGTTTCAATTTTCGGACATGCGTACTCGAGCAATTTAAAGTCCTATCCATCGTTCCATTCCCATTTGCTTATTTTAAATTGTTTCTAGTCCATTGGCTCATTCACCTTATTGATTACCCTTTCATTCCAGCACCCATGGATCTGTGGAGCCTGGACATAGACCGGATGGTAAAGCTAGTGAGGGTGCGCTGTTTCATTTGTCATTTCTTGTAATAATACTGACATTATGTTGTATTCCTTGTATCTTTTCGGTTATCTTGCGGTTGTACGCACCAAGTATGGCTGTTGTGCCTTTCATGCCCCCTATGGATGCTTGAAAACCAATATTCTGGATTTGTCAGCAGGTTCGATCAAATTAAAGGACAATAATAGAAATAATTCGCTTCATTACTCAGCATGAGGACTATTTCATTACAATGCGGTAGATAGCATAATGAAATGCTGAACCGGAATCAAACGGTTCAAGTGTTTCATATACCGGTGGCCATCGGAACGTTTCATCCACCCCATGTTATGCCCTCACTTTTGTTTCAAGTCAAATCAAAATAAGTTTTATGTATCCAAATGGACATATTTTCAGTACTTTACAATATCGACGACGGATTAGCTAAAATTGTATTCTCAAAATTTTAAATTCGTATGAATGGAAAACGGTCCGTACAAACGAGCAACAAATAAACCTTTCTGAATAGAATAATCCAAAGCTGCATTATTTTAGAGGCTGGGCATTGCAAGTTCGATTACAAATCGCGACGGTCCATTTTCAAATGCGCATTATCTTGTTATTGTCACAAAGTGGACAAAGGACGGCAGTGTTGATCTTATAAATAGTTTTACCAAGATCGGTAATGAAGTATTCTATGAAAACTAGTCTCTCCATAGCGATATTATCGAAATGATATTCAGTGAAAACGGCACGATCAATTTAAAGGCCCCGCCGCCATAGTGAGTTAACAGTGACCATGGGGCAGAGCAAGTTGGCTCTAATGCAGCGTCACACGCGCTTCTGATGTTTAATGGGAAATAAGGTGGCCAGCGCAAACCGCTATTTTCTAAGGGTCTTTTGCTGTTTATCCGCAACTGCTTGTTGCTCTCAATGACGACTACAATGATGGCTTTTCTCCGCCCATAGCTTACGGAACTTTCCTAGTAGCGTACAGCTTTGATATATCAAGAGTTCCAGCTTCGGCGGTTTACTGCATAAATTGGGAATATTCTTTTCATGCCATTGCAGTGAAACATGGAGTCGGTTTGCATTTAACAGCATTTTGCATTAGGTGCTCGATATCGGACAAACGCTTTTCAGCAGCATGAGCAGAAACAATAATGTTTTGGTAATTAAAGCGTTGAATAAGTGTCCGCTTATTCTATGCATATAACTTCGTTTTTCCTTTTAACGGATGGGTTGCAACAGTGGGGAAGCTACTGCTTTTTATCTGTTTTCGTTCATGCTTGACTTATTGATTTTCCTACCACCCCAGCAGTCTACGATATCTGCTCGCCTACCAGTCAACGGTATCCTAAGTGTCCGTTACCCACCTTGCCACGAGGGACCCATTTCGCACTTTCTTGGCTGAAATTTCCCATATTGCGGACTTGGTTCACAATCTGCTCTTATAAGGATTCCCTATGTATCCTCCCCATTCTATTCCTTGACGTCTATGTCTTTTTGGTTACTCGGCCCTTACGATCTGCTTCTCCTTTTTATCCTTCGTTAACAATCCACCAGTACAGCGACCTCGCAGTCGGACGAAATTGATCGATATAGTTTAATATTTTTGTGTACACTGTAGCACTGCACTAGATGGTTCTTTTGTAACCTGCCATTACTTAGCAAGCATCTTCGAAAACTTCAAGCATTTCTACTTTATGATTTGTGGTGTGACTGGTTCACTTTTCCGCCGCGGCCCAAATTCATCTCATCACCTTTACTCGCATCCATTGGTTTTGAAGCATATCTCTGTCTAGTATAACAGTGGGTCCCCTTCAACAATTTCGTTAAGGCAGAGAGAAGACAGATGTTGCGATATGTCAACGTTTCGATTGTTCTCTTAACTCGCAAGCACAATAAGAGCAGAAACACACAAACGATTATATACATGGAAAAAATTAAGCACCACCAATCAAAATGCCACAGTCAAGACCATGGCAACCGAATTGATTGCCTCAAGAGTTTCTATACACATAGCACAGGTTGATAGGCCTTAATTAACAACGCCTCACTAATTGCCAGGATTATCGTGTTTTTGTTGCGTAATAACGCTTTGAACGCTGTCTCGGGGTTCTCGTGATGACGGGTCGTCATGAGGTGCTTGGTGCTGGGCGATGCTGGGCTCCCATAAAGTCCCAGATTCGTCCCATTTTGTTGCGTAATCACTTGTCCCAACCACTTTGGCAAATGTTCAGCTACCCTCTGAGCTAACTGACGGTTTGTTCTGCCTATGTAGATGTCACCGCAACCGCAGCTGAACTGCTAAACAACGTGAGAGGCCGAACTACCCGACCAGTTGCTATGACGGTTATGAAGGACAAATCGTCGCCTGGTATGCCTGAGTCGCAACTGGACTGTGGTGTAGGTTCGCGTTAGGGTGGACCTGATATCATTTGCCACATGATCCCCCTTGAATGGCAAGAATAAATAAACATCCTTTTTCTCAGCCGTCAACACCGGTGTTTTCACGCTGGGAGGTCTGCTGTGTACTTGAATAACCTTCTCAGAATATCCATTAGAAATTAAGGTCTTGCGTAGTATTTCTTCTTCGGCTTGTAACATTTCGGGGCTGCACATACGTCTAGCTCGGTAGAAGAGTGTTTTCACTAAGCAACGTTTGTATGCGATCTGTATAGACGATGCTGGGCTCCGATTAAATCTCAGATTCGTCCCGTTTTGTTGCGTAATCACTTGTCCCAACCACTTTGGAAATTGTTCAGCTACCCTCTGAGCTAACTGACGGTTTGTTCTGCCTATGTAGATGTCACCGCAACCGCAGCTGAACTGCTAAACAACGTGAGAGGCCGAACTACCCGATGAGTTGCTATGACGCTTATGAAGAACAAGTCCTCGCGTGGTATGCCTGAGTCGCAACTGGACTGTCGTGTAGGTTCGCGTTAGGGTGGACCGGAGCTTGCGTCCGATATCATTTGCCACATGGTCCCCCTTGAATGGCAAGAACAAATATGCATCCTTTTTCTCAGCCGTCAACACCGGTATTTTCACGCTGAGAGGTCTGCTGTGTACTTGAGTGAACTTCTCAGGATATGCATTAGAAATTAAGGTCTTGCGTAGAATTTTTTCTTCGGCTTGTAACGTTTCGGGGCTGCGCATACGTCTAGCTCGGTAGGAGCGAGTTTTCACTAAGCCGCGTTTTTATGCGATCGGGGCGAAGCTTGAAAAACGAAGGTACTGTCCAGTCCAAATCGATTTATGGTGAACAGTGCGCTGCAACATACCTTCAGCCCGTCTCCTGTCTGTCTGTGATAGTGCACCATGATGCCGCGTACCTTCAGCTTTTAAGTGTTCCTGTAGCCTGTTTTAGCTGCAGCTATCACAAAGAACCAGCGATGCGACAAAATAACAACTCGGTTGATAGCCACCGTATTAGTCGACACTACATTTAATTCCGTTTCCTTTTTCGTCCTATTTCAGCGCCTTCATCTGACTTCTGTCTCGTAGACCGAATACGCCTGTGCCTGAGTGGTGCGTTTGCCTATCACGCAAAGCACCGTTTCACATCACCCCCAGAAACTATATCAGGCCCTCACAGTAAGTTCGTCGAAAAACGTTTTCTCATTGCTCACAGACACTTCTTCCCATTTTAAGGGAGTTGCACGTTCCCTTCACAATCCGCTTTTCAGGATCACGTGCGAACTCTGTTTACAGTGACTATTTTTCTACCACTTCCCACTTTTCAGTTTCCTCAAACGCACCGGATCTTCGTTTACACTTTCCGGATTACACTGTGCAACCATCTGTGTGTCAGCGTGGCTCACAAGCTCTTCTGTTCGACCCTACTGATCTACAGCTCTTAATTGAACGAAACTTATCCAGCGCCCATTCTCACCAACTACCTAACTGGCGCATATCCGCACCGTTACACGGGTCGGACATTCGACTGAGTCCCCATGCGTACCGCGCGGTGCGGGGTCTCTTGAGTTACAATTTCGGCGGCATTCTTGGGGATGATCTGGAGGATATGGGCACCATCTTTCCCGACGGATTCCCTCTGTCTCCTGGGGTGTCGGTTCCCGTCGGTTCCTTTCCATCTTTCTTTCCTCCTAAACCCAACATCCAGGTATGCAGCTTTCGTCCCACTGGAAACAGAATGTGCTGTGTTTGCACTGCTGTTTTTTGAATCATAATCGGTATTATTCCTGCAAGCGGCAAACTGCTGTAAGCTGTTTCGCCTGACCTACTACTATCAAAGAACCGGGTATATAGGGATACATTGTCACGCCCAACCATTTCGCATTCCATGAGCATCAACTCTATACATCACATCTATAAACCGGCTTCGAGTCACTTGGCCGGCTGTGTTCCCACACACCACAACCCATGCACCTCTTAGTGTAACACGCATCAATATGCCAACCTTAACGATAGGCTAAGTCAATTACTCCTAATCACTTCACACTTTTGCTCATATCTTCTACTCTACTTCTCTTCAGCTGTCTTGTATGCACTGGGCTCCCACTGGACTTCAGTAGTCCTAGATTTTGATCGGTACATTCTTTTCATTTGCATACATATATATATATATATATATATATATATATATTTGGCAGGATCCGGTTCCGGATTTGTCTGTCACTGTGGGCAACCACAGGACTCCTGCGCCTAAAGACGGATCAAGAGTGGCTTGCGTTGCACCACCCACAGCTCCATCCACGCACCCCGTACCCAGCGTAAACCCGAAGGAATAAGGTCGGGAGGCATGCGGATGGGAGGCACGTTTCACCAACGGCCCACACTCCTACAACATGCACAGTAGAATTCATGTCTGTTTGGGTAATCATGCGTACCAGACGTACACAAGGCGATAGCTGGGCCGTAGTTCGCTCCACACTGAATGGGATCATTCTTTGAGCCCAGAACGTCCTCCCGGCAACGATTTACAATATCCTAAAGCTAAGTGGAGGGTGTTCGACAAATGGGCATCTTGCCAACATCCACATCAAGCGCAGTCACAGCGAGGATAGCAAGCAACCAAGACCGAACCTGTGAACTGTGTATATAGAGGCGATAGCGGGCTGCACATTAACACCAGTGACGTGACACACTCCTCAAGCCATGTTAGTTAATGCCCGCATCAGCAGTTCGCCGCCATACCGTAACGATGCTTTGCTGCCACGCATGGGCTGTGTACATTGCGACGTTTACCGCGCCTACACGAACCGATAACTTCCGGATTACAAGACTAGTGCTTGATCCTTTGGACCACCGGCCGCTCACGGTCTGAACTACTGGCGCACAGTTGTGTTGCACTGGCGTTCATCTGTTACATGACTGCATTCAGTTAACTAATCATCTCCGAAAGCAGCAAAACAAGATAAGACTATGCGGAACTAACCGTGGGGGGATTCAAATTGAAGTTGCTCATGTGTTGCACTCATCTGTCTACCACAGCTGGCCTCTCCTCGTGCAAGTGGCATTCGTGATTCGACTTTATTGGTCAACCTCACCCCACTGATTTTGATCGAAACACTTCGCACAGTATTCACACACTCTACTTGCTTCGATGTTTACTTAGCTATCTGCTACGTTTTGTGGTGATCTGATCCGCTCACCAAAATATTGACGTTTGCCTTGTTTTATAAACATAAACAGACAAATGTAACTCGTCCCTCTTACTTCTTCATCACTTTCGATTACTGGGAAACAGGCTTCCCGCAATTTTTCCTGCCATTCTTCTAGTGTCGTGCATTTTGTCTGAAGCAGGGTGCGAGTTCACAGCAAGTGTATTGCGTGCTTCACCATTAAATTTGATGTGTAACTGAGGTGCCTCATGTTCCTGTTACTCTTCACTTTTGCTGTCAAGCTTCTCTTGTTGGTATCCTTCAAATGCTCTTGGCGTCTTGATGTAAAGCTTTAAACTACTCGATCGGTCGACCTAGCTTGTCATGTTTGGTAACGACATCCGGAGTTCGCAACTCCTCTCCCTTCTGCTTGTGACTGAAGCGTGTGTGCATGGTACGTTATTTGACTTATCGAACTTCAAGACGTGCGTGCAGGATTGGCACTCACCTGTTCCTGTACTCCCTCTGAAGTCACAACTAGAACAAGTTGACATATTTACCTACTTAGAGAGCTAGGTTGCAGCTGGTGGTACTATCGTAAAAGAAACGGATTTTCGCATGCCATTGTCAACGTTTGCCTCGCCTAGCTATTTGTGGCCTCGTTTGAACGTTTATCACTAATGTTACTGTATAGAAATGACTCTTAGCTGCTTCGCTTTACTAATGCACCGGCTCTTGGCCTTCGACAATGGCTGTTTCGGAGGAGTCACTGCAAACGGCGGGTTATTGATTCTTGCATATTTGATCAACCGGCTACTCATCCTACCCATAAACATTTTACGAGTGCTGCGTTCATTTTAGAGGTTCCAGGTAACCACTCGGTTTTTCTCCATATGACGCTCGATTATCAAATGTTCTACACGTATTGAACGGTTCATCTGTGAGTCGGTTCCCTAAGTCTTATCACAATATCGTTTGTGAACACGGCTAGTGGTGCGTAACGCTACTTTGGATACTGAATACTGTATTATAGAGCAAGCATAAATGAATTTTGTATAACTTTCGAAATATGGTGTAAAAGGTTATAAAAATTGTCAACCGTGAATATCGTTATCATTCTCATGTAACATTTAAAACATCTGACTCACGGTATTGCAGTACTCACAGCTGTGAGTGCAATCGTTCTCTGAATCGAATAGTGGTAAATTATAAATCTAACAACCTTTTGAACTGCTGCACAGGTGTTGCCTCCATCGCATGTTCAGATAAACTGTTCCAAATATTTACCACACTCAGTTCGAAGCACAGTGAGTGGGGAACTCGCTTCACACCCGGCACAGCAAGTTTGTATCTGTGTCCGCGTGCGCTACATGGCCCTCGTACGTGCAGCATTGACCTCAGCATATGGAAGTCATCGCGAAGTAGAATGGGGTATAGGTTATAATGAGTACGACTCGCACCAGACGGTGGTCTAGAGTCATAGTCTCTCGCACCGGTCTTCATAACGCAAGCCACCTAAACTCAGGATGAGTCTGGTAGCAAAGTGTTGGACCCGTTCGATCATTTTTGAGCACGAATATGTTTCTTGGCAGGATGGATGTCATAGCGACTTCGTCTTATTTCTGGAATCGAGTAATTGGCCCCGTCGAAAAATCCAGTGGGCTGCTCCACTTTTGACGCTAATGTCTGTGTTCTTGAACACTGTGAACCCTGCGCGAATTGCCATCTGGTGGTCGGCAACCGGTTCTTTTATGCTACCTTGGGCGCTGTCCGTTTGATTTGAATTAGCTATTTTACCTAGGCTCCGTACTTCGTGTGCTTGCTTCATCGTCTTCTTTACCATCGTTGCACTGGTGAGACTACATGGTGGCTAATCGATAATGCTGTAAAATGAATCGTCGCCTTCTCAAATGATCATGTCCTCGATCTGAAACATTGGATATACTTCTGGTTGGAGTCACTTCTATCTCTACCCTACTATCCAACGGTTTTAATTTTCATTAAGGCAGTAAGAAGACGTATGTTGCGATATGTTAACATTTCGATTGCTCTCGTCAGTCGCTACGCAATACAGGCAAGACAAAACACGCAATAGATAGGGTTTTAAGGTTATAAGGTTTTAATTTTAACCTTTCGAATTTTTACCCCTTTTTTGACCGTGTTTTACAAATGTTATGGCTAATGCAACCCAAACGCGAGCCAAACCCGAGGGGTCGGTTAACTACATTGATGTACAGAAACAATATTTCCCTTTATTCTATGTATTTGGCTCACATACAAGCGGCGAAAACTTCGAAGGGTTGAAAGCTGTTTGGACCAAAGTGCATTGTTAATTCAAGTCATTCAAGTCAAGTCAAAATAATCGTTATACACCTATTTGTGCGCATTTTTCAGCATTTCACATTAACCATGTGGTAGTAAGAGAAACCGGTGGAGAAGAAAGCAGAGCAGCCTCAACAGCAGCATGTTTTCGCTTATCCGTCCTGCTGTATGCAGCAGATAAGCGGCCCTTGATAAGCTGCGCGACGGCCGATACAGGATGTGGTTGACGTGTGAATAAATACTCGTGGTTGTGCGTGGGCTGAGATACTGCCAGGTTCCCAGATCTAGATATGAGGACGATTAGGGTCCTCGAACAAAGCCTTTGGCTAAAAAGCCTGTCCGCAAGACAGCGAGGAGGTGACAATGAATTTCTTTTACATCCAATTTAACTCCAATTTAACCTGAAAGACCAAGAGACTCAGTTTGTCCTACCTTTGGCAATTATTCGCTTACTACTAGCTACCTTCCATATTACGGCTCTCACGTAGATCAGCGCTATTTATTACATACTATTTTTGAATGAAATTCCAGTTACAGACAGGATCACACCCTGCGATGTTCCGCGTCGAGATCCCTTGGTGTCTGACATTTTAAGAAGACCTGTACTTGTTATCCAAAGATGTATTTCACTGTCTCCCTACTTTTTCATTTCTGTTTGATCCAAGCAATTCTCAGTCCGTTTCTTTTACTAAAGAATGCTAATTGTACATAACCTCAGTCAGCCTTATCAGTTCTTATACGGACTGATATGGTAACAGCCAGAGCTGACTATCCGAGTTCCTCTTTAGCTGCTTGTGCATTGATGTACAGGCGTCAGAAACCGTGAAAAATAATGGAAGACGCAGATTTTTATTAACTGGAAACCAAGCGCAATGCAGAGCAGTCTATGGTTTTATGAGGGGGCACGATACTGCTCGATTACCCAAGGCGCGGTATGGAGTTGTCTCATTAGACAGCATCACGAGGTCGAAGTCTGGGATTCGCACCTGTTGAATTTTTGACTCGGCCGGTGGCCGAGTGGTGGCCGGTGGTTTGCAACCATAAGGTCACCGGTTCGAATCCGCGTAGGGGTGGGCGTCCTCGCGGTATACTCAGCCCGCGCGCAGCTGGTGGTGGTCGCGCGGCAGCGAAGCGCCGTTACGGCGTTCAGCTGACGCATTATTATTTATTATTATGAGTTTTTGACCGATTTTCTGGATCATACGCCTTTCGTTTCGCCGGTTACTAAACAACAGTCCACTATTCTCCTCCCAACTTCAGCAGTATGCTGCTAGAGTCGAGTTATTTCAAAAGCATCCGCAAATGCTGTTACGCAGCTAGCCGCACCCATACAAATCTCTTGAATTCTTCGCTTTTGTACAAGTGCTTGATAAGTTGAGCACTTTCTTTCGTAGACTTCGTTTGCGTATTAACGAATCGCTCCCACCCACTCTGCACTGTTTATCATCACTGTCTGATGTGAGCTCTGTTTCCGCTCAGCGCATTCCGTACAGATGCAGTTAGGTACTTTTGAGGCGGAGTACTGCGCGTATTCTCCGCTTTCATCACTGAGGTCCGCGGCTCCAATTTCCGACTTGTTTGCGCTCATCGGGTTTAGACAGCATGACTGCAAGCGGTTAACACCCACCAGTCATCCGTCATTGGTTACGGTCCCGGTGACCAAATTGTGTCGCGTTCACTTCTACTTGAATCGATGTCCACCTTAAAATTGCGTGTTGTAGCCCACTCACACAACGCGTGCCTCAAAACACCTCTGCTTTTCTGATGGTTGATCGCCCTTCTTTTACTCGCCATCTCACATTTCGGCACATCTATACCCCTCCTCACCGTCAGACTGCAATCATTAATGTTCCTTGGGTTGTGTGGTCATTCGAAATTCCACTGGACGAAGTTCGTTTGATTATTTTGGAAGACAACAGCGCTAACAATCAAGAATGGTGTCACTTCGAATTCCAGAGGGGATACTTTTTCTACGATAAGTTGTCCAATCAACGTTCCACTGCTCAGTTGAGTTGTCCAACACTTCGGTTGGTCAAATATCAGTCGCCAAGCGGTAAGTTTTTAGTATATACACATTGCCTTGCTCCACACTGAGTATTATTGCCTCATTTTGATAGCTTTTCGAGAATCTACCCTCACTAGAAAGAATTTGTGGTAGTTAGCTCCTCAATACAGTAGTATTTCATGGTACTATGAATGTGGTCTAGAAACTGAATGTCCGTTGTCACACGAACATCTATTTGAATGCTAGATTTGGATCGGTCTACCCAGCGAAGCTAACATAGTTTGCGTTCTTCTTCTCCACGCTGATAATAGGTTTCTTTACCAGACCATCATTGTCTGATCCACATATCACCATTTCCCAACCTCTTTTGTGTATAGGCGGTGATCACTTGGTGTTTGGTCCCACCTTCACACCACATCTCAATGGGACTGTTGGAACGACGGGACCATCTGCGTTTCGTATTCGCTACTCCTCCTCTCCGTTCTCATCTACTCTGTCGGTGTGCGTACGTTCAATGGAGTTGCAGTTTCACTACGCCTTTCTAACTCATTTGCTCGACGTGATTTGCACCGCACCGATTTGTCCCCCCAACGCCCTCCAACAGATGAGGCGAATCGAGTGAGCATACATTTGTTACGCTTTGGCTTTTCTACCCAGCCACTCTTTACTTGTCTCTCACCTAATGCATCGTATCACTTTCTATGCGGAATCAGCTCTGGATCCACGACACCACTGGAGTATCAACTATGCTTTGAGGACTGCACGGTGGTCCTACTCATGAATCCTTCAGTCGTCTCTTCCAACGCCGTCTTGTTACGCGTAAGTTTCCAATTTAAGCACTCTCAACTGTCTGAGTTAGTCTTATTGCGAATTTTGCCTTAACGATCTGGTTGAAGACGGTAATGTTCCGTGTTGTTCCATAGAACAAGACGCTGTAGTGTCACCTAACGTATTTGGCTCTATCCACCGCATTATCAGCATAAGTCCTACTGATCCTACTTTGCTTTCCACACTTTTCTGCGCTGCATTTTAAAAGCGCTGCGCGCGTGCTGTGTCTGCAATCTTCTCTATTAGTCTATTCAACAGAGCTTATCTATGGCTGAGTGGTATTGTGCGTCTGCCACAGTCTCCTCGTTTGGCTACCTAGCTGAACAGCCAACTCTGAACGAGTGTTTAAGCCAGACTCATTTATGATCGTATTGGTGAATAACCTTGAAACAAATTGTGCATTGAATGATTCCAAAATATTTCACTCGCCGTGTTAGTACGCTTCCCAGGCACACTAGTCTACCACAGTATGCCGTCCGTTCTTGCGATGCATCCACGAGGTGTAAAATTGGATTCCACGTCCGACACTTTGAGGGTGCCATCCTGGTGTTTATTTATTCGACTTTCGAGGGCAATTGGCCTGCCGTTGTGTGCGGCCTACACGCAATTTGAACACACTTGTTATGCGCTCAATAGCTCATTTTGCTTTGCTAGCCGACGTGTATCCTTTCTCTGAGGTCATTTAGTCTCTGCTCTATATGAAATAGCGGCAGAAACGACAAATCCGTCGCCGTGGACTACTGCGAATGGTTGTTCGGCTGGGGTTTTGTTCTGCCTCAAATGACTAGTTTGTATCGACCCTCGTCGTTGAGACATCGTCGTCCCATCGAACAATAGTGACGGCTCATCCGGTGCATCCAAGTTGACCGGTTTGGTAATGAGTCCATTGTATATCGTCCACAACTACATCTTCACTGGTATTGAGGCTTTTTCATCCATTTTGTCAAGTAAATTTACTGACGCTGCGTTAAACAAATTAAGTATTTAATGCCCTTTTTGACCCTATTCCATGAGATCACTCAGATCTTTTTAGTATGACTAGTGCTATGATAAAGATCTACCATACTTGTCAATTAATTACTCGTTTCATGAAGAACTGCAACCACTACCGGTCACGTGCCGGCTAGAGCTATTGCAATGTCGCCCGCACCTACGCAGATTCTAACGATTAACCTTCGGACCACAAAACAGATGCGTCATTCTTTCGGCCACTGGTCGTTTCATGCCCCCACGGTATCGTCTGCAGCCATAAGCAATGAGGTTTCGGAAACAGCATGATCGTGGCACTCATTTCAATGTCTTTAGACGCCAAATACGTAGTAAAACACACTGGCATTTGTTACCTACATCTACCACTTGACCAAACAGTAACATTATTAGTCATTAGTGCAGTCGCTCCCCTGATTTTAACAGATTCAGTTTGTTTCTCGTCTTCAGCCCTTTACCTTCATTCCCGTTCCATAGGTCTGTATAGGCCCACCCCATCATTATGTGCGCAAAATATTAAGCAACGATGCTTGTTGGTTGGCAGAACATTCTCACTCCGTTCCAGTTGAGTACCGTCTCGAACGGTCTTCCTTTCATACATACTTGAACGCACGAATACCACACCTTGTTGCACACAGTCTTATCACTTAAAATAGAACGATTTTTTCTACTTGCCACGAATACCGTCTGTTACGGATTAACTCACTGGTCAGTTAACCGTCCTTTACTTTTAATTCCTAACTTTTACCCTTGTCAAGGCAACTGCCTTCATCGCCCGATCTCAATCCATTGTGACTTGTTCGGCTTGTGTGCCTTTCACACAAGTCTGCCTGCACACTCTTCGGCTCTCCACCCATACCTCGCCCTCAACTCCCTCCACCTTGGGCACTTTCCTCCGCTTGCGTTCGGCACAACTACGACTATCCTCTTCAGCCTCAATTCCGCAACCTACTAAGACTTCAGCGAGCGACTTACAGAAATCAAACTTGCCCAGCGGTCTTCTCACCAACACCTTTGGCGCGACGCGACTCTGTGCAGACTTATCGGCTCAACGACAACAGGTAACCCTGAAGGTCCGCTCTGTTTCTTCATTTTTCTCGCTGTGACTACGTTATCTTTGGAACTGTTTTCGGGCGGATGGGTTTGATCTTCATGTATGTATTTCTTGACAGACGAGTTTTCTGGCTGCTTTTGAACGCGTTCTTCACGTGACATCTTTTCAACGAATACATTGGTTGCCGTTGTTTCTACACTTTGATTACACACGGTGCAATCGTTGGTACTTGCGAGTTTCCCATGCGCGTTTTCTGTTGGTTTCATTTCTGTTTCCCTTTTTCTCACTTCAGCATCCCCCACAACCTCCCAAATTTGAACTACTTTTCTCAACCTCCAACATATCTGTCGCTCTATCTCCATCGATTATAGAATTGCTTACTCGTCTTCTTCGGTCGCTTGCTGACCAATGTACGCAGTCTTACGCGTGTGAAAGTCGTTCATATAGCTTCGAGATCAGTAAGCGTTTTCGTCCGATTTACTTATTGCTCATTCCGAGTGGGTGGGGACATCTTTGCTGCATGTCATGTTTCATTTCCAGATGGTCATTTCGACGGAAATTCAGCCACGGATGCAAATAGTACGAGTAGTGGTCATTTACTAAATCGATTCCTCCGGCTACCGGAGATGTTCATTGACTTCGTGTCCCCTCTTGTACATACACTTCACGTGAGTTTCCATTTATTGTAATTTACTCCCTCGCTCTCATATGTTGGGCCTCCTGTGCAAATCCACCTTTATAGATGTTCACGAAGTACTGATTATCTTATTCTCTGTACAAACCCTCCGTGTTATTCCTTTTGAGCAACTCTCCAATGATAGAAATTGTGTCAGACTTCTGACGGCATCGATTGATTATAAACTGGCCTCTTATCTACAGCATATATCTTTTCAAAGTGTTTCTTCCCTCATGTCGTTTGCGATTGCCTCCGAGTTTCGCTCATCCATGATCAGTGGGCTAAAGTCCATTGGCCTGATTATGCTTTTTCTCAGTCAGTTCGCATGGGTGGACGGTATTGTCCATGTTATTTCGAAATTATCGTGCTCTAGCGGTTCAACGCGGTGGTCGCTGACCGACTGACACACTGGGGATATCTGTTTATCAATGTTCCCACCGTCCTTCCGACTGTTTTACTTCTCCTTGCCACACCTCCGGTTTATGTTAGCTGCTTATGCTTGCCTATCGCTCAATGTCTTTTGTTGCCCAGTGGGCCATCAAATCGATTCCAGTTTGTAGCTGAACTCTCGATGCATTTTGAAGTGAATTGTTGTAGATTGTCCTCAACCACTGACCCCTAAAACGAAATTTATGGGTTTGAATTCGACTGGATTCGATGGACACGTGCTACTGATGAGTCAGACTGCGTCTAACTGTGAGCTAGTTGGATTGTATAGCAGTTATCTGTCTTGATCTCTTCCTTCTCGCATTCTCAGCAGTCACGTCGATAATCATGCGTCAGGCATCTTATGTTCACTACACATATGCTGACGTCGCATCAATACTTTTCGCAACACAGCTGCTAGCGATGTATCTCTACCCTGTGTTGTTTTCCGTGACTCCACTCGGTCCACGGATGATATGATTAGAAGGAATGAAGAAATTAATCAGATAACTTCCTCGGTCCGTTTCCCCAATCTCTTGCTGGTTGGTGCCCATAGGATCGACCACATCCATGGTTAGAAACATTTCACGACGCACCAAATTCGCAAAACCATTGTTGCTCTAACCTTTATTCCCTTGTGTATACCCATTCATCTTCTCATATATATATGTATATGGATATATATATATATACATTCATTTTCTTTCATCCTTTAAATCTTTATCCGTATGTTAGCACTAGTTTTTCTACCACTTACTACTGTCGTTACCATTTGTACTATCTATCATGGGTGACTAGATGCAGTGTACTTCTTTACCCGGATTATGGCTGGCTAGCAGAACAGAACTGCTAACACTGTGCATACGCCTATCGTGTCGCGTAGATTTTTGTCCTAATGACTGACACTGAGGCCACATCTTTTGAAGGACATATCCAGCAGTCTTTTCGCTACTCTTTATACTCAGATGAACCTCGGATGCGCAAGTCTACTTCAACCATTCATTAAATTGGCTTCTTTGGACAACTAGTTTGGCTGCATCACCTTGGTTTTAACTCTCTCATCTTGATCGTTTTACTCCCAACTATGTCCGATATTTGATAGCTGATATTTCTCCACATTCCTGATGTCTTTCACGGATTTTTCACTCGCGATTCCATTTTCGAAATATTTCTCCTTATTGTGCTCTTTGCACCCATTCCACTTTTATATCTCTGCTCAGTTCAACTCCGTGGTCAACTTGCGTCTCTTTGACACTGACTATGGTACACTAATCCCTTTGTTCGAGGTGTTGCTCAAAGGTTAGTTTCATGTTCCCTTTTTTCACAGTAATTCAATTACTTTATACCTCCATACTTTTACAGTTCTTCTATTCCCTGTCCTTTTTCATCCCGCTAGTGGATGTATTTCATTGTTTCATTCTAATGACCGTTCTATGATTCACGTCGCACCGCTCGGTTTTGCTTATTCTTGTGACTGCGAATAACCCACGGACACCCATGCTCACCTGAAAACCATGGGGGTCTTGGGCTGCGCCACGTACCTGCTCATTCCATATCCAGTGCGAACTCGAAGGAACTAGCCTCGGATTCGCGTGTAGGGTTCGCGATTGCATCGGGTCAGTTAACACACACATCACTCCGTACCAGATGTGTGTACACGGTGGATATTTGACGGTAGCCCACGACTTGGTGACACCATTTGTTGGGTTTGCACTTTCGCAATTGATGTGCTTACCGTCTTCCCTAGCAATGGATTTGCAGTATCCTGATGTTGGCACTCTGGGCGGCAGCCCCTCGTTCGTGGCCACCTTGTCATCGCAAACAATGCTGATATGCGACAACGCTAGCTCACTGCTACGACTACAACCAGTAATAATAATAATAATCATAATAATAATAGTAATAATAATAATAAGTACATTTATCGAGCTCCCAGCTTTTGCAGAAATATTCACGTTGTTACGTGAAAGAATGATTTACAGACCATTTACAAGTAGTACAAGTGACACATTAGATAATAGGGGAAAACTATTGGAAACATTTGAGGTGAGCGCAGCTTTTCTCCAACGTGTTCGAAGCTTGGGACCAAAGAAGTGTGCTCTCTTGTATACAGACGACAATCAGTTGAAGATACCGCATAGCAATCGAGAGAAATTGGTTATTAGATTATGTTCTGGTGCAGCTAAATGGCAATACAAGATGCGAGCCTACCATTCAATGAACCATGATTTATCTTCCTTCCACAAGGCATGCGTGCAAAGTTAACTGATTACTACGTTGAGGTGGCACGCAATTTGAATTCATTAGCAGAATATGGAGAGGCGAAACGATTTATGTTGTACTAGTCCTAGTAAAAAAAACACGACATAAATATGTGTGATGCTGTATGTTACATATTTGAGCTTGCATTTGGGTACATGAGGCATGACAGTAGCACTGGGAAGCAATGTATCTACCGTGAAGCAAGTTGAAGGATAGTGCAGATTAGGGTCGATTTAAACCCAACCGAAGTGGAGACTGCGTACGCGAATTATTTATGGGCGTACCCTTGTTGCTTTCAGTGAAAATTGAGATCAGGAGAAAATACACAAGAGGCAGAAGTTAACGCTAACGCTCATCTCCCCTACCGGCCAATGTTGTCATGTTTTCATTGTTGTCTATCTGAACAAACCTACTAACTCGGGTTAGTGACTTCCCGATTAGTTGATGTGCACATCTCACCACTCACATATCATAATTCACTGATTCGGAGGTGGGGCGAATGAAGGTGAAAATGCGAATTCACTTTTAGGCACCTTTTTTGTCCACTGTGCCGAGGTATCTATGTTCTGCATAAGTCCACAGTAGATCACCACTCTCAGTAACACAAACGATAATCAGAAAGGATACTATCAGCGGCGCCGTGACGAACATATTTCCATCTGTCATCCAGCTGGTTAAAATTAAGCTTAAGAAATGAAACGATAACTTATAAACTGAGAGATGCGCAGCTATCAACACGGATACACATCACGTTTCACGGAATCCCTGGATCTTTTTCTTGTAAGATCATGCATCAAAACAATGATGGCAACACCCAGATGTTCGTTGTTCTTCCTTTTAAATTGATGCCGGCCCGTGGCCTTAACGATCACTAGCCTGCTTTGTAATCCCGAGGTCGCGGGTTCAAGCCTGCGTAGGGGGGACCAGGCGACCCTCGCAGTATTCTTAATCCATGCGCCACTGGTGGTGATTGCGTGGCGGCGAGGCCACAACACTGCGTACGGCGTGCTATTGATGACTTTTTTGATCGATAAAGGGTACCACCATTTCTGATTTCTGGTGGTTGCTTATTCCACCATAGTGTTTACTAGTATACAAGTTTCAGCTGAGTTCAGGTTATCCGCTCACAGTTTCATATCACATAATGCCCAGCAGCCCGGCTGTAATAGAGAGAAGGATAAACACGGAATTGTAGATTTTGTTAGAAGGAAACTTCATTACCGCTGCAACCTCAAAATCCTTAAGATCTAGAGTTACACAGACACCTCAGCTTTATGGACTGCCAAAATTACACAAGGTGAATGTCCCACTAATTCCAATCGTATCCATGAGCAACTCGCCGCAATACAAGCTGGCTAAATGGCTAGTGATAATACTGGAGCTAGTTAAGAAGTCAATGGTTAAGCACAGCTTAGGGGACACGTGCAAACTTGTGGAATTGTTAGATGGTGTCCAGCTAAGTGGAAACTCTATGGCTATCATCGATTTAGTCTCACTATACACCAACTTGCCACTGTAAGAGACTATCCAGATCATACGCAACCATGTGACTGAGAGCCAATTAGAAACTGGGTATTCCAGTGTCCGAAATAGAACGGCTCCTGCTGTGAAGTACATCGGATGTGAAGTTCTATTTTCAAAAGCAAGGGTTTCGGCAACTGGATGGTATTGCAATGGGTAGTCCACTTGGACCGCTTGTAGCGGATATTTTCATTGCTTACCTTGAAAATCAAGTCAAGGACGAAACCCACCACTCCGTGCTATTTCACCGATACATGGACGATATATTGATCATTTGTGATCAAGAGGAGCAACTAACGCAAATGAACACCAGATTAAATGACTTGCATCTAAACATCAGAGTGACAATAGAGCAAGAGCAGTATGATAGCATGCCGTTTCTTGAGGTACTGATCGAACGCAGAACTGATGGATCGGTACGTAGATCGGTATACCGTAAGTCCACGTGGAAGGACCAGTACCTGAATTTTTATGGTTTTGTACCCAAACGCTACAAACAGACCCTTTTTGACAGAGCAAGAAAAATCTGCACGCAAAACACGCTAGATGAAGAGGTGCGATTTCTCATTAACACCCCAAATTCTTTCATCGCACACTTCAGTAAGAAGAAGAGGGAAGAGAAGGTGCCCACCGTGCCAAAGCTTCAAGTTACACTGAAGCTACCGTTTAAAGGAGAGGATGTAGACCAACTATTTCAACGGTGTTTGAAATCCGCAGTTGCACGAGTGTATCCCGCGGCCCAACCCGCACTGGTATACACAACGACACGCATTCCCACACCTTCCGTTAAACCGCAGCTACCTCTGTTCAGCCATTCACGCAGCGTTTACATATTTACATTGTAATTGCAAAGCCACTTACATAGGCATGCCAGAGCGCCAGTTGCGGGTGAGAATTGCGGAGCATATCCCAGCGTGTGTCAAGAATCATATTTCGAACCTAGCCCCGTCCACCACCCAACTTGCGCAGCCAAAGAACGCAAGTGATCGACCTTTTAAGACGCCTGCGTCATCCACCGCCCGCCATCTGACCAACAAACACTGTTGACCCCACGCGTATGTTCAGTGTGATCTACCCATCAAACAACATGTGCTGCGATACGCTGAGGCGGTCGCAATCAAACAGCTTGACCCTAGTCTGTGAGTGCAGAAGGACGCGTTCCTCACACTGGCTCTACCCTGGTAGTAAGCCGATAGACAGCTGATGAATTGACAAAGATGTGTGCCCGCTTGTATGTGGGTGTACGTATGTTGGTGAATTTGCTATTTCAACTTTCTTCTTGATGCTATTAATTTTCACGTGCTCTGTAGTACGCACTTGAGAATATGCAGAGAAATTTGTCCGATTAAATCGTGCGGTGCTTTGGTGCTAACATTTTTTCTGAAAATTTTACTATCGTCTGCCAAGAGAAAGGCTTCCCAACTTTTATGTTGTCCAATTGGCCATTTATGTAAATGGAGCACACAAGCGTAGATTACGTACCTAGTTGTTGGTGTACTTTCGGACAAATTGTTGGCAATATCGACTGTTTCCTCTCCTCGAGGCAGGTGTTTTGGAGCACCATAAGCCTCAAGCTTCCGCATGAGTCAAGCAATATGATGACGAGGACGTTACCCGTATCATTTTTTTAGCGACATAGTTCATATAATCAAGTTTGCAATTAGTGCATGACCTGTTCCACAGAAATCCATGTTGTTGGTCATAGGATACAAATATCCAATTACGCTTTAGACATGTGTCCCATGATTCTGGGGACGATGGAATCATGTTGAATGGGATGGTAATCTTTCACATTCCGCATTGGGTCACCTTTGGGACGTGGAACTACTACAACTTGTTTCCATTACAGCGGATAAATCCCGCTATCCGTTGAGAGAGTGAATATACTGAGAAGAAAGATGGGGATTTCAGATCCACATGTTTGTGGATAACTGGTGGAATTGTCTCGAAGCCAGAGCAGCAAGATGGTCTAACCGGATTATGTTGCAGTTGATTGCTGCTAAAACTATATTCAACAGTTCGGATTGTACAACTGTTTTTTTACTCTGAACTGTAAACTGACCTCTTCATCCCCCTTATTTGCATAAGAACAGGCATAATAACCATTGCGGGTCGGACAAATAACTGCACTATCTGCTATAATCAGCCCACCAGAATTAGCAAGTGTGACGATGTCATGTGCCTTACGTGACCGCCCGCTGTTCTAGGTTCTTGAAAATACCATCTGCCCTACTGCTTTTCCTCTGAATTCTTTCCTATTCTGCATGGGTTGGGTTTTCTGATGCTCATACCGTTCGTGGGCCATTACTTCAGCGTGGAGAAGTTTTTAGTCTTTGTAAACGTCTTTCGGACTCATTCAACTTGGTAGCTACTTTCGGTTTATTGTACACTGGGGTACTATCTGAACACATTGTTAAATTCCACCATAAAACGCATCATAGGCTCTCTGTAACTTTTGACTTAGAGAAAATTGCTCCCAGTTTAAGGATCTAATGAGACTTGAGAATCTCCGACAA